TACCCTAACCATATATCTTATACTTTACACCACATACCTTGTACCCTAACCACGTACCATAAACATAAATTAAAAAGGGATCTCCTGCCGTTAAAGACTTCAAATGACTTCAAGTGAACATATGTTAATAAAAAACTTAGAACCGTCAAAACCATCAATATCTTATACCCTAACCATATACACCCTAAACCATATGTACCTTATACCCTATACCCTAACCATATACTTTATATCCTAAACAACGAACCGTCAAAGATTACTTATCAAGTTTAGTATAAATTGTTGTAACTAATGGTTAATTTATTTATTAGCCCATAAACAATTACATACATACATATATATATATATTAGCCTTCAAAGCATATAAGAATAATTTTAACTAGTCATGCCCTCCATATAAAAGTTAAAGATTCATATTTCAAAAGCTAAAATTATGAAAAACCAAAAAATTGAAAACACCAAATTTGTTTCATTCTTTCTTTTCACAAAAATACTAAAATTTCCCTCCTTCTTTCAACTTTCATACATTAGAAAACTCAATTTTCCCTCCTCTTTCTCTTCCATAAAATTGAAAGAACCAAATTACCCTCTTCTTTCCTTCTACAAAAAGTTGAAAACTCAAAAGTTTCCCTCCTTATTTCTCTTTCATAATCAAAAGAATCAAATTTTCCCACTTCTTTCTCTTCCCAAATATCAAAACCACCAAAATTCCCACTTGTTTCTTTTCTAAAAAATTAAAAGAAACAAATTTCCCTCTTCTTTCTCTTCCCAAAAATTTGAATACACCAAAATTTCCCTCTTCATTTAAAAACATCAAATTACTAAATACATTACTTTACTTTATTTATATTTAATTGATAATTTTATTGAATAGTTAAATTAACCAAAATTTTAATTTGTATATTATATTAATATTGTTATGATCTCAAGTGACCTTCATGTTTCAATTTTTATAATTTTCTTAAAATACGTAATATCAAGTGAGTTTCATATTTTTTAAATTTCCTCTAAGAAATGAAAAAATAATTTTACTTAAGTTTAGAATGAAAAACTTTATTTTGAAAAACTATGTATTGTATATTTTTATAATTATTCAAGTGGATTAGATGAAATTCGGGTTGAGTCGGTCGGGTTACGGGTTAGTCAAGTTCGGGTCAATCGGGTTCGGGTTAATCGGGTTGCGGGTCAATCGGGTTGCGGGTCAATAAGGTTCGGGTTAATCGGGTTGCGGGTCAGTCGGGTTGCGGGTTAGTTGGGTTGCGGGTCAATCGGGTTGCGGGTCGGGCGGGTTACGGGTTGTTGACTTTTAGTCAATTCGGGTTGCGGTCGGGTTGCGGGTCGGGTTAATCGGGCGGGTTAATCGGGTCGGGTTATGTTTTGACACCTATAGTTGTACCAGAAACGTAAGTGGTAGGATATTTTATGTTGAAACTAACAATAGTTCAATCGTTTCATATTGTTAAATACCACATATCGGTTTCACTTATGGTATAAGGTTTTTCTGGTCGAACCGCCGATATGTTACAGTTTTTCAATCCTTGGTTCTGAGTCATATTTGTGAGAATCTAAATGGATGGTATGGTTTTGTTATTAGGTCATTGCCATATTATATAATCACGTGTGGTGATATATGGTCTTTGTAATGTACAGTTCCTTTTATTCTTTAAACTAAATTCATTAAGCCATTGGTATGTTGAGTTTAAGTTTCCTAATTATGTCTCAAATGGAAAGGGGTTGCCCAATAACTAACACTAATATTGATCCTTTTGCTGGTTTTGTTTCTGGTAGAATATGAGAGTCAACGATTTCAACAATTTGCCGAAGTTTACTTTGGAGAACCCTTTATGTTCCTATATTTTACTAGCTAGGATCGAAGAGTTTGCAGGAAAATAACTCTCTTTGAAATTTATGCCCTCTTTTTGATCAGTCATATATAATGTAACATATCTGTAATGTGTATGGTGATCAACAAGATGACTATTGGGGAAAATATTTCATGGATACTCTAAACTCTATTGAAAGAAGTCAAAGAATCAAACATTTTTTTTCTATATTGGCGGTTTGAATATGGCTCACATGACACACCATTGTAAGTGTTTTCTTAATTTATTCATAGACAATTTTCCGAATAAAACAATTACAAGCTCTAACCGTCGACAATATTTATGAAAATTAACTACTCATTTCACACATATATCTCAAAACTGGGTACTAAACTCCATCAAAAGATAGTCGTTAACTTTCAAGGTGAAAATAGATTAAATATGTACAATTGAGAGCAACTCCATTGTTCATATACATGAACTACTTAATTAAGAAACAATTTTTGTTTTGTTTTAAATCATTAAGCAACACTTACATTACAAACATGGATGGGAATATGAACAAAGCACATATTATATGGGTCAAAATTACATACAAAATGCATAATCATTAATCGCCAAAACTCTACCGGCCAAAGGGCCGGGCCCTGTGCTAGTTGCGTTGAAAGGTAAAGTAATCCTTCATACGAATTGGGTCGCTTTTGTGTTACGTAGTTGAGTATAATTAACCAACCTAATTTACTCAATATCCAACTGAACAGTTCATCCTTCCTCCATCCTCCCTAACGTTCCCCTAACTAGGGCTGGGAAAATAGACCAGATCGTTAGAAAAACCGTGGTCCAAACCGTACCGCACAGTTTGGTCTGGACCGTAGACCGTGAAGTATGGTCTGGTCTGGTCCATGGTCTGTATTATTTTATGATTTGATCTCTTGGTCTGGTCTGGTCTAGACCGTGGTTTACCGGACCAAACCGTAGACCCAACTGACTTATCAATACGTGTTAACAGCCCATTCGACCACTCTCCAAACTCCCACAACGACACCCAAGTCTCAACCTTAATTTTGTGAATCTCTTCCCTCCTTCATTCACAACCACATTTAACCACAGAATAGAGATAATCGTGTCTCCATATGACATTATGTTAATGTTTATGACATTATGGTGCAAGCTGGGATGCTTTTACTTTGTATCTTTGTTATGTACTAAGATTTAGAGTATCAAAATTATTCATGCATGTTAGGATTAATGTTTTAAGGCAAATAAAAATTATTTTTCTTGGTTATTGGTTCAATTTTTTGTGTGGTTAACTAAACAAATTATTCATTTTTCGTTGAGTGTGGTCTACCTGGACCAGACCAGACCGAACCAGACCGCATAGGCGTGGTCTGGACCAGACCGTATAGTCTGTGGTCTGGTCTGTGGTCTATACTTTAACCTCTCGGTCTGGACCGTAGACCGTATATATGGTCTGGTCTGGACCAGACCGCACCGTTTTCCAGCCCTACCCCTAACCGCTACCCTTCAAATAGGGGTGGGCATCCGGTTCGGTAAACCCGAACCGAACCGGACCAAACCAAATTTGAACCGAACCGAAACCGAACTTGTGTTGTTCGATTCGGAATTCGGAAGAGAAATGAACCTAATTCGGAAACCAGGGTTCTTCCAACCGAACCGATGTTCCGAACTTCGAACCGAAAAACCGAAAAGTATGGATTGGGCTCAATCTCAACTCACCCCCAACCCAAATAAACTCAACTCACCCCAGCCCAAATAAAATCCAAACACTCAACTCACCCCCAGCCCAAATAAACTTAACTCACCCCAGCCCAAATAAAATCCAAACACTCAACTCACCCCCAGCCCAAATAACCAAACACTCAACCCTAAACCTAATGAATTGAAGGAGAGAGGCAGCAGCTGCAGCTCTCTTCTCATCTCTCACAAGCAGCGCAGCGGGCAGGGGCAGCCACCACACACCAGCTATCCATCATCCTTGCAATTCAAACGATCGACAACATCAACCTTTCGCCGCCGTCCGCCGGGATTGACCTTTCTTCGCCGCTTTCTCTTCCCCGCCGCAGCACCCTCTTCTCCACCTGAAGTCCTGAATTGAAAATAGAAACAGAGACTAAAACGATGCTATTGAAGATTTGAAGCTCGAGCCTCGAAAGAGATAAAGTATGCCAAAAAATGACATGCATGCTTAGATCTAAAGCCATACGAACCTTCATCGTCGTTCTCCGAAGTTGTCACCATCGCTGTCTTCAATCGCCGTTGCCGACTGCCGTGGTCCGCCGATTTACTTTCTTCCTTTTTGAACTCTTAATGATCTACGCCGCTTCGAGACCGGAGAAGGAGGAGAGATTTCTACCGCCCGTCGTCGTGTAGCTCTGGTGTGCTCTGCTTCGATCTCTTCCTTGTGCTCGTCGTCGCTACATCGTTTGTTGGTTGGAGAGAGAGAGAGAGAGAAAGAGAGAGAGAGTGCATCTGAGGAGTCAAGGGGAGAAATAAGAAGATAGGCCGAGAGAGTAGTCATTTTTTCCAAATAGGTGTCCACAAAACGCAGGGGTCAAGTGGCCAAAACGCAAACACCTTCTATTTTCGGGTTGGGAGAAAAAACCGAACCGAACCGAGTTATAATTCGGTTCGGACAGACCGAACCGAATTACAACTCGGTTCGAATTCGGTTGGGGTGTTGGGGACATCGGAAATTCGGCATGTTCTGGTTCGGTTCGGTTCAAACCGAACCGACCGAACGCCCACCCCTACCTTCAAAGCACCAAAGTGATCAAAATATTCTACAAAATAAAAGTCGAGATATTATACCCAGAAGGCCAGATCCACAGCTGCACAACATGAAGTAATATAAAAATGGAATTCCTCACAAAATGAGAATGTAGTATTTGTGAGTTATTTTACAATAACTACCCCCATATGAGGTATTGACAATAACTCATTAATGAGTTAGTTCAAATTAACTCAAGTACAAATAACTCATCACCAACTTTTATAGACAAACGGGTTATTGCACCCAAATAACTCATCCAAACGACAAGTAAACAAAAGAAATCCAGTAGTGAGTAGACCAAAGTCACTAACGAGTAGACCAAATTTAACATGAGAAACACACATACGTTTCACAAATAAATATCTATCTTCAACTAGAAAAGTAGAGCTACAAGTCATCTGAATTCAACGCCAAATCAAAACAAACCAGATTTGATCTTTTTCACCAAGAGATGAAACCGCAAAATTTGTAATGTTCATAACTTTGTCCTCCTTAATGCTTCCTTTTATACTTCTCCATAAGATTTTGATATCCTTCAACTGATGGCGCCAACACTTGAATTCTCTCTTCATGAAGAGCTGTTGTACATACTGTAAATTACAAGAAACCAAAAATCATCAATACCATACTACCAAAAGAAATGTATTTGGAGCAAAATGTAGAGAAAAGAGTTTACATCCAAGCAAACGATTGCAGCGTTTACTTACCTCAACAACTAACAACATATTTTCTCTGGGCACTTTATATTTCCTCGGAGTACAAGATAAAAATTTAGGGCGACAACAACAGAATATGGTATCTAAAAAGAATTCCTTCTTATTGCACGATGTCAAAAAATTTTCTGAAACAATCACATGTTCAACAATTGGAGACTGAACATCTTGAAATTGATCCACATCTTCCTCCTGCATAGAACACACACCTAACTCGATAAGCAAACACAACAATAATTAGTTTGTAAATAGAAGTACGACCTCAAACCCTAAATGGTGACCATATTTTGAATTAGAGAGGGTCACATACCCGACAATTTGGAAATTCATTTATGAGTTCTATAGTCAACCAGAATCGTGTTAGCTTCTCAAGAACCTTCCCCAAATCATAAAGATTGAGTTGGGAGACTGGGCCGTGGGTTGTCACCAAGGCAAATGATCTGTCGTCCTTACTTAAGACTGTAGGGAAGAAACGAATGTGGACCCAAAGGAAAGTCGTGTTAGGGAGAGCAATCGAACAGTTCCACGAACTCAATGTAACCTCTTTTAACTTATCGTTATTGACGATCTTCAGGTGATGAACTAGAGAGGTAGGGTCACTTGCTGCTGATGTTATTGACGACTCCATGAGTGGGCACTCCGATATCAAATCTTCAACATCCCAATTCGTAGATATACAAGCACCTGACAAAACGAGTAGTAGAATCAGAGAATCAAATTCAGTAGAGAGTTTTGTAAAAGGTCTATCTGTACTGTACTAGAAAAGGGGAAACATTTGTTTTCTCTCTTACGTGCAGATGTGATATCCAGACTTTTCAGATTTGGTGTCAACACAATCGCTATGGCGCCATCCTCCGATGGAGAGTGGGGCCAAGCGATGTCGAAATCCACCTTGTCACTGGCGTAGAGATTCAAACGTTTCAGGTTCGGTAGGTCCCGAACCTGAACCCTCTGAACCCCTCGAAAAAACATCACTTTCAATTCCTCCAAGAGGGAGGCGCCGGCGATCATGCTATTCAGAATCCGCCCGCCGTCGGGGAATTTGACGCCTTTGAGTCTCAACGTCCTGAGGGATCCGCGAAGATAGTCAAAAGGGTTGCTCCTGCTGTCGTCGTCTGTGAAAAGGTTGACGTAGCGGTCAAAGCTGCAATTCTCCAGGCTGAGATGCTTGATTCGGCATAATTGGCCGCCGCCGCCGCCGGCGGGTAGTAGAAACTCGCGTGGGATGCTGTAATATGTTGCTGTGACATCAATCTTTTGTGGCGGATTCTTGGCGACGGATCCGAGCAGATCGTCGAGAATGGTAGTGTAGAAGTCTGAGTTGTTTGCCATCCAACCGCTGCTGTTAATCCTGACGGCGGCGAGCTGGTGTTGTAAGGAAGACAACTTCTTGGCGGCTGCAGCGGCGAAACCTTCTAGGGATTTCGTGGTTCCGAAATCGTTTCCGTTGAATTCCAATGTTGGGTACGAGAACCAGAGGTTGGCCCATCTTTTGCTGAGGACGGTGGCTTTACCGATGAATTTTTGGGATTTTAGACGAGACAGGATGTCGTGGAGGATCTCGTCGGGTAACTCCGAGATACGATCTAGTTCTTCGTCACGGCGGTCGGCGACAGTGGGGATTTTACACTGTTCCATACCGGTGCCGCCGGGGAGATCTGTGTTTTCGTTTTGGGGAGGGAGAGTTGGTGTATGAGTGTATCCGTCTTTTAACCTAATAACCTAGACTTGGGTTTAATTATATTTATTTATGTCATTTTGCGAGAACAAAACCGGATCAACCAAACCAGTAAAACCACCAAACCAATTATGATAGCGGTACGGTTGATTGCTCTCCACAAGAAGCCTACTAAGTACTAACTCTAGAAGCAACAGTAAGATACTCATCAATCAGACTCTCAACAAAAAGCAATGTAGCTGCTGGATTTCTTTTACCATTAGAAACGTACTGTCTCTATAACTTTGTGTAACTATATACTACAGAGACGATGTAAAGTGTAAGCCTTTCGAATCTTTCCTAAGAGAAGAATCCTGCATTCGAAAAATGTTCATATAATATTTCAACCAATCACATCACCAACGTGGCAATAAGCAAGCTAACCACCATGAAAACCGCGTAAAGCCCGACGAGGCAGAACCCCCAGAATCTCGGAACACGAAACCTCGACCAAGTAACAACGAGTAAAGAACCCATCAGGCTCGTCACCAGGAACACAAACGCCACCACGATACTAATGTGAAACTGGAGCTGATAAGCCTCGGGATATATCTCACCCGTCTGCACGACCAACGCCGAACCAAGTCCCACCAGCATGTTAAACATGGGGCCCGCGAAGCAACCAGCCATCGCCATTGCCGGCTGTCCAGCTCTGGCCACTGCCACATCGGCGACCAGGTCGCCAACCGAGTTTCCCCAGGCGAGCACGGTCAGCCCTAGTAAGGATGGGGCGACCTCGAGGATCGTGCCGAGTGCTGCCAGACAGTTTAAGAGCTCTGCAGCGGTGGTGGATATCCAAAAGACGCTCATTAGGAATGATAGGAGGACGACGGGGAGTTGCTCGGTTTTTGGGGGCTGGTTTTGCAGGATGAAGTGGAGTAAGGCGAGGGAGGAGGTTGCTAGGAGGGTTATGAACCAGAGTGGGAAGTGGATTGTTGAGAGGAGGAAAGAGATGGGGTGATTTAAGGGTGTGATTGAGCTGCAAGAGTAGAGAAGGGCGATAGGGCAGAGCATTATGTTGGCTGATTGGTGGAATCTGTTCCATTTTGATGGTGCTGGTTGAGGGATTGTGAGGTTCAGAAGTAACGTGACAGGGACTTCCCAGAGGTTTGAGATCTGCTTGTGAAAAAAAAAACAAAAAGAGAGCAAATGTTAAGAGTAAGGTACCTAATAGTGATGCATCATCTAAATTGAGCCCTAAAATGCCACTCTGGAAAACATCGGAACCTCTTGTCATCATCATTATCAACACGGCTAAATTCTCAGCATTTGAAGAAGAAGAAGAAGAAAAGACATGCATATTCAAATTCTATCTTGAAAGCTTCACAAAAACAAAAACCAATAAGATTCTGCGAAACTGCAACTACACGGCATAAAGATCAAGGTTCAACACTTAAAACTTTTGCAACCATGAGGTACAAATTCTAAAACCAGATAAGAGATGCTCTCCATATCACTTACATTCTAATGCTCCATAAATAGTACAGTGATAACTAAGAGCGTAGAAATGCAAATTGCTGAAGGGATTTTCCAGTTCAACATGTAAAGCTGGTAAAGGAGAAAGCCTGTAAAGTGTCATAAGGGACAAATACAAAAAAGAAAGCAACTGCAGTTATACTGCAAGAAGACCAAGGTTCTCAATTTGCAAGACAAGGTCCGAATCCATGGACATTTTACAAGAGCGATGCTCTCAAAACTCAAAAGCATTTTAGAAAGATGCACTAAATACATAAGCTTTGATTCTTGGTAACAGCTTCTACTGATACAAGTAAAACTAGTTGGGACGATGATAAGAGATGATAAAAATGCAATGTTGAACTAAAATGATACAGCATTCCGTTTTGAACATTCAAGGCTCTTAATTATGAAACAGACAAAGCAAAAAGCCAACAGTTCTAAGAACGCAAACAAGCACCAAGAGTTTGCACCAACAAAAGCCAAAAGCAATTTACCTTTCCAATTCCAAAACCCTTTTCAAGCAATCCAGTCCCATCCTCCTTCAAGCTTTCACCACCTCCAACACCCTTTTCACCACTCTCAAAATCCATCTCCTCTTCCAAATCTCTGTTCCCACGCTCTCCTCCTCTACCTCTACCACCACCACCCTTACCACGATTCATCCCCAAATCCATCCAAAACACAATCCCAACAAAGAAGAGATAAAACCCAACGAACCCAGCAGCCTGCCAGAAACTGATCTCGCCACTCAAATACACATAGAACAGCGACATAGCCGCAACCAGATAGAACCCAACATCCCTCACAAACGAGCCCGGATCCACACTGAAGGGCGCCGCATAGATCGCCACGAACCCAACGACAAACGCCGAAACAAAAGTACCCGCCGACAGTATTGCCCCGAACCCCGTCCTGTACTGGCCCGACCTCACCGCCGCGAGGGAGGCGAACACGTCGGGAGCTCCATTGCCGAGAGCCAAGAGGGTGACCCCGCCCATGCTCGGGGAGAGGTTGAGGTGGCCCGCGAGCTTGGTGGTGACGATTGAGAAGTGGGATTGTGCGGTTTTGATGAGAATGTAGAATTGGAGTAGGATGAAGAGGGCGAGGATTGGGACGGAGAAGGTGGATTCCCCATTGAAGATGCAGAAGTGGATCGCGAGGTAGTTGACGAGGCCGGTCGACGGGGGAAGAGCGGAGCAAGAAATCGAGGGGAATTGGGAGTCGTGGGTTCGGGAGAGGAGGGATCTTTGGCGGATTTGGGGAGATGGGTCCGAGGGAGATCGAGGATATGCTAGTGCGAAGAGGAGAGTGGTGAATAGGGTTAGTGCGATTGCTGCGATGGAGTTGAGAATCGGGGGAGATGGCGGGAGAGTGAGAGAGAGGAAGGCCATGCCATTGCAGGGGATTCAAAGAGTGATGTTTTGGGGTTCTTTCGGCTTTTAGATGCGAGGAATGGAACCCAAGATGGAAAGGAAGCAGCTTTGCTAGTAACTAGTAAGAAGGATTTGTCGGTTGACGCGTTTTGGCTTTCACAGCAGCACAGAGCTAGCCGAAGGTATCGATTTGTTTAATCATTTTACACTTTCCAGGTTAAAGGTAAGAGTTTTAGGTGCAGTTGCTGTTGCAGAGCTTCGGAGCAGGGGAAGTCAGTGATTCGAGATCTAACTTGGGTATGGAGGCAGATTATAAACTTCAATCCAATCGGAAACAAACGAAAGAAGACCGCTGAAAATGGTATGATCGATTGATCATCACATTGCCATTTCTGGGATGCTTAAGCAGAGGTTGACAAATTGGTCATAGGAATTAGGAATTACTAAAGATGTACATTGGAGGAGCGATTATGAGAGAAATCCGATAGCTTCTTTAGTAGTTGCTTCTAGTTCCGGTTCATTTGTGATCTTTTCGGGCTCTTTTTTGGTTTATCCACAAGGATATTTATGAAGAAAAAAACTTGTGAAACTACATTTGATATGATCAAATAAAACGAATTATCGATTAGGACAAATAAATTGACCAAAACCAAACTTGTTCCCATCCATATTTATGCATCCACCACCCTCAAAAGCAATTTGGTTACATTCTAAATTGGAACAGTGAATTCAACAAAATTTTACAGTACGAAAAGTCTTGGCACCGCACAGTAATTGGACCTAGTTTGTTTCCAAACGAAAGATGTGTAGAGCATCTTCAGTGTGTATACTAAGCCCCTGTTATTTTGGGAACGAAAAGGAGGGGAGGGAAAGAGATGAACGGAAAGTGGAAAGCCCGACAAATTTTCCTCTGTTTGCAAAGAGATAAATAGTAGGGTGAAGGAAAATGCAGTGGAAGATGAACTCTGCAAACCTCTAAATTAGAGGAAAAAGGTCCTTTTTAGTGGGCCTTCCTCAATTCTTTTGTGTTCTTGTTAAATTCAAATAGGTTGATTGTTAAAAAAAAATCTTTAGAAAAGAAAACCGTTAATGATAAAGCTTACTCATTAGAAAGCGTATTTTATTATATTTCTGTTGGTTTTTAGGAGAGAAAAGATAAATTTAATTAGTATATAATTATGGTCATTAAGGTTATTTAGATATTTCTTTTTTAAATAAAATAATATATTTTGTAAGGTGTTGGGTTAAGTCATGCAACAAGGGCAACCTCCAATATGAGTTTAGATGGCGTCTCGAATGAATTTAAATTTATTGTTATTTCTACATCCTACGTAATCATGAACGAAACACAACAGTAATTTACGTCACACACAACGTTGGTTTACGCGATAATTAAAACTGTTACGTGTGTGGCACGTAAAAGTATCTAACGTTTCAAGTAAAACGACATGTGAAATTTTATAGAATGAGAAAAATTAGCAAGGAATAACAAGTTTGATATTTTTTTTGACTGGCGGCGTTGAACTTTTCTACCTTTTTTTTACTTATACTGTGCGTAGGTATAACAGGGATGCCCATCTAGTGGCTAAACACGCCCTTTCATCAGCAGCACGACTATTTGTCGACTGGCGAGTTTGGTTGTGTGGTGTTCTCTAACTATCTTTATCCTATTCTATCTATGGAAAAATAAAATTTATTGAAAAACAAACATAAATATTCTTTTTGTTAATAATCCAAACATAAGGTGGCCATTCATCACATTAGTAAAAAAATAGATAGGGGTGCTAATCGGTTCAGTTTTAGTTCACCACTAACCGATATGGCGGTTAATAGTTAACCATTAAGCAAAAAATGCCAACCGATAACCAAACCGATAAGAGTTATAGGTTAACTCATGTCATCGGTATGGTTACGTTTGGTTATTAAAAAAATCAACAAGAGAGACTGAAATGTAAATAATCCATTAAGTTGGAATTAATTGGGAGATAGTGGGTAGATAGATGATTGATTATATAAATTTTCTAGTAATAGTTCTTCCACTATCCCACCTCTCACATTTTTATTATTATTTCAGAGTGATATCAAGAGGGGACAAGAGTTGTACAAATAAGACTATCCAGGAACCCCTACAATCAATACCCCAATGAAGTCACCCGATAAAGTAAGCAGACGCCATGGAAAATGTGGAGTGGGGAGATCTAAGAGATTATGACATGTCGCCACCATACACTGAAGTTAACAGTCGGGCATAAATCAATGAAGTTGCTAAATCCCACTAAAGTCCACAACTTGGTGGCCATGGGGCATATGAAGAATAAGTGTTCAATGCTCTCTCGATGGGAATGGGTTAAAGTGGATACTAATTTTTTTTAACCATCATGACAACATACATCTAAACCCTTAATTAAATCTATTTTCTCATTTTTTAAAATAACGATCAAAAGGAAATTAATGATGATTTTGGAATAAAATTATTAACACATCAAATTATTACATGGATTACACGATTCATTTGTTATACTGGAGGTCATACAGTGGTGCCTGACACATTCCTTTGTCTCTGTCAAATTTCATGGGAATTCACAACACTTGATACGGCGGGATGGTGGGAGGCGATTTGGCGCATGATCGGGGTGGAGCTCTACTGGAGGATGCTCGGAGCTTAGCTTCTCAGTTCAGCTTGATTTCTTACTGCTTTGTTTTTCGTCGACTTTATAGGGCTGCCCATCATGTGGCACTAAAGGCCCTCTCATCGGGAGTTCGATTATTGGTCGACTCCCGCGACTTTCTTTCTTTCTCCTTGTGACTATCTTTTCAATACTGACTTTGCGAAAAAAAAAAAATTATTACATTTATTTATAATTTATTATCTCCTTCCTCTCTCCAAACCCTTAAATGTATCCATCTCCCTCTCTTTCCGGTGAAAAACTGCGACCCTTCCTTTCCTCCCCCTCCCCACTCCATCCCGTCCCCTCCTCTCCACACCCCACCATAACCACCATTCTCCCCTCTCTTCTCTCCCCCAGCCCCCCTCTCCTCTCACTACCTTCAGGTCTGGATTTTTTTCTCTCATTTTGGTACTTGTTCATTGTTTGTTTTATGAAATGATATAGTATTGTTTTTATAATGATATTGGTTTATTTTTACAATGGTATTGTTTGAATTTCACAGTAGTAGTGGTATTGGTTTGACTCTTGTAATGACATAGATTGTTTATTTTGGTAGTATTAGTGTAATAGTATTATATTTCATAATGGTATTAATTTACTTGTGTAATGCTATTTGTGTTTTATGCAATGGTAGAGTTTTTTTTAATGGATTGGTAATGATTTATTGTTTTGTTATCGCAGCGTTATTAGTTCGGCTGAAAGAAATCAAGAAAAAGAATGAGAAAAATAATCATGGTGATTACTAATCTATAGTAATCGCCATAAACCCTCTCGATGTCTTCAACAGAAGGAGCATCGATTGAGACAATTAACTCCAAGGGTTTGTATGGCCACCACTGTGGGTAGAATGATTGAATGATTTTGAGGCATTGTCATATGAGTTAAAAAAAAGTCAAAATAGGAGAAATAAAAGTATATATGAAGACAAATTGAAATAGAACGGCTCAAAAAAGAGGTGAGATAATAATATAGAACATGGCAAGACAAAAACAGTAGCCATGCTCCGCTCCATAGTGCTAGGACTCGAGTATTGTCCACATCCAACGCGAATCAGGCCGGGCAATAAGTTATCAATTTTAAATATAAGGGTTAATAGTACCTTATTATGGCCCAAACTATACACAAATAATAAACTTTGGCCAGTAGTTTGAGAAATTAATATCCTGAACTCAACTTTACATCATATAGACTCAATTGACCGGATGCATGGTTTGACCGTCAATTTGGACGATCAACGATCCAGCTCACTGCCATGTCAGCACCAAAATTAATAAAAAATTCAAATTATATTTTCTTATAAATAATTGTTAAAAAATATAAAAATTTTATCCAATAAGATAATAAATATTGGTAAAAAATAATAAATCAAACAATTTTTTTTATCCAATAAGATAATAAATAATGGTAAAAAATAATAAATCGAACAAAAATTTAATTTTTTGCTAATTGTTTTTATCAATATTGAATTTAATTTTTTTAGATTTAATTTATCATCATTATTTTATTTTAATTGTTTTTTGATTTATTATTATTTTTTTAGATAAAGAAAATAATAAAATAATTTGTAATTTGTCTTTTTAGTTTTGGTGCTGAGATTACAGTGAACTGGACCGTTGCCGGTTAATCAACGATGTTGACCATTTATATTAACGGTCAAACCACGCGTCCTGCCAATTAAATTTATATGGTATATAATTGAGGGCAGAATAGAATTTCTAAAACCATGCCAAAATTGATTATTAGTGTAATTATTAACCCTAAATATAATTAAACCAAGTCTTTAGATAGGTTAGGTCAAAACACGGATACACCTCATTGGCCATTGCTCATCCACCACTCCCCTCGCCCAAAACGTATACACAAAAAACCTCCCGCGGCACCCGTATGGAACAGGGGAAAACCCTCACTATCGCCGGCCGCCATGATGATCAACGAGACCGCATCTCGGCGTTACCCGACGAGATCCTCCACGACATCCTGTCTCGTTTAGAATCCCAAAAACTCGTCGGTAAAGCCAGCGTCCTCAGCAAAAGATGGGCCGGCCTCTGGTTCTCGTACCCAACCTTTGAATTCAACGGCGACGATTTCCGATCCAAGGAATCCCTAAAAAGCTTCGCCGATTCAGCCGCCAAGAAGCTCTCTTCGTTCCAACAACAAAACGACACCAATCCCCATCTCGCCGCCGTCACGATTGAATTTAACAGCAGCGGCTGGATGGGAAACCACGACTCAGACTTCTGCACCACCATCCTCGACGATCTGCTCGGATTCGTCGCCAAGAATCCGCCAATGAAGATTGATGTCGTTGCTTCGCATTACAGCATCCCACGGGAGTTTCTACTACCCGCTGGCGGCGGCGGCCAATTTTGCCGCATCAGAGATCTCAGCTTGCAGAATTGCAACTTTGACAGCTACGCCGACCTTTTCACAGACGACGACAAAAACAGCAACCCTTTTGACTGTCTTCGCGGATCCCTCAGGACGTTGAGGCTCGTAGACGTCAAATTCCCCGACGGCGGCCGGATTCTGAATAGCATTATCGCCGGCGCCTCCCTCTTGGAGGAATTGACCCTGTTTTTTCAAGGGGTACAGAGGATTCAGGTTCGGGATCTACCCAACCTGAAACATTTGAAGCTTTACCCCAACGACCCGGTCGACTTCGATATCGCATGGCCCCATCGTCCAATAGAGGATGGCGCCATGGCGATTGTGTTGACGCCGGATCTGACAAGTGTGGAAATCACAACTGCACGTAAGAGAGAAAAATCATGTTTCCCTTCCTCTTTACAAAACTCGTACTGAATGTTTGTCCATTTTGATAGTTGTTTCTAATTCTACAATTTGTTTGTCAGGTGCTTGTGCATTCACCAACCGGGAAGTTGAAGATTTGATATCGAAGTCCCCACTCTTAGAATCTTCAATAACATTAACAAGTGGTCTCTCTAGAGTGTATGACCTGAAGATCGTCAATAACGATAAGTTAAAGGAAGTCAAATTGAGTTCATGGAACCATTCGATTGGTCTCTCTGACATAAGTTTCCTTCCATGGGTCAAACTTCGTTTCTTCCCTACAATCTTAAGTAAGGATGACAAATCCTTTGCCTTGGTGACAATCCACATCGCACTCTCCCGGCTCCATCTTAATGGTTTGGGGAAGCTTCTTGAGAAGCTAAGCCAATTCTGGTTGAGTGTACAACTCATACATAAATTTCCAAATTATCGGGTATGTGAGCCTCTAATCAATATATGGTTTCACCATTTGGGGTTTGAGATCGTAATTCTGTTTACAAACTAATTAACACAGTGATAACTGATATGGTTAATTGTTGTGTTTGCTTATTTAGTTAGGTGTTTATTCTTTTGCAGGAGGAAGATGTGGATCAATGTGGAGATGTTCGGTCTCCAATTATTGAACATGTGATAGTTTCACAACGGTCTTTGTCATCGTGCAATAAGAAGGAATTATTTTTAGATACCATATTCTATTGTTGTCGTCCTAAATTTATATCTTTTACTCCATGGACATATAAACTGTCTAGAGAAAATATGTTATCAGTTGGTGAGGTACGTAAGCATTACAATTTTCTGCTTAAATGTAACTCTGTTCTTCACATATTTGCGACACATTCTCCTTAAACAAATACATTTCTTTTCATACCCTTATAAAAAAATACATTTTTTCTTAGTATTGATGATTTATGGTTTCTTGTATTTTACAGTCTATACAACAGCTCTTCATGAAGAGAGAATTCAATGATCGTTGTCGTACTAAATGCAATTGCTGGCGCCATCGGTTGGAGGATGTCAAAATCTTACACAGAAGTATAAAAGGAAGCATTAAAGAGGAGAAAGTTCTGAACATTTCAAATTTTAAGTTTTCATCTCTTGGTGAACAAGATCAAATCTGGTTTGTTTTGATTTGGCGTTAGATCTTCATGGCTTGTTGCTCTTCTTCTCTAGTCGAAGGTGATATTTATTTGCGTTCTCATGTTAAATTTTGTCTACTCGTTAGTGATTTTCATAAAGTGATATCTTTAAACTTACCAAACAAAAGCTGCTCCCATCGATTTTTTCGTTTATCCATCTACCGCCCTTAAAAGCAATTTGGTTACATTCCAAATTGGAACCAGTCGATTCAACAAACCCTAGTGGTAAGGCATGTCTTCAATATGTGCACTAATCCTGAGCTAATTGGGGCCAAAGATTAGCCATCGAGCAACAATCAAAAGGAAGCCATGGTCAGAATTGAAAGGTGTTTCCTTGAAATGTTTTCTATACACCAAGCTTTCTGAAGAACCACATCTTTCGTTCGTCAACATCCATTGCAACAAAAGCCTCGGCTTTCCCCTCATCTTCCAACTCTCCACATGCATCCAAAAACACGGCATCGTTCATTCATGGTATTTCTTGCAGAGCATCAACAATTGCCTCGATCGAAGTGAGCTGTTTTGTATCATCCTCGACTCTGTGGGACTTCTTCCTTTGCAAGCCCGGTGATGTTGCAGCAGATGTTCTTCTCCTCTTTCTACAATCAGAGATTTCATGTTCCCCATTCGCATGTGCTAAACCTTCAGAGCCACCATTGATCTCGGTGTCCAGGGTATTATGAGCATAAATCAAGCATAGAGCATTGTATCTTGGCAAATTTCTGTCTTTGTATTTGATTGAAGATGGATGGTTCTCTAAGGAGACAAAAAAAAAAAAAAAATTGAAATCCTTAACAAAATTCCAACATACAAGTACTATGTCTTTCTATAGGGATGACAATTTTACTCATATCCATTGGTATTTTGCTATCCAACCCAATTGAGTTGGGTATGAAATCCAAATAGATGGTTTATTGGTAGAGTTTGATGGGTTTGTACCTATACCCATCTTTAGGTTGTGTTGGGTTTTTGATTTATGGATTTGGATTTTACCCATATCCATATGAAAATTATAATTTGGTATCTAAACTTATTAGAACTTTAGATTTAGTCCCTAAATTTAATTTTTTTTGCATACAAGTCCTCAAAATATCGATGAAAATTACATTTAGTATCTATATTTTTAGTATTACATTTTGATACCTCAACTTTTTAAATTTTTAAAAAATAGGTCCAATTTTTCTATGTGTAGTTAAAACACTCTCAAACAAATGGGTATCCATATCCAACCCATACCCATTTAGATTATGAAAGCAAAATCTAAATCCTACCTAAAACCATCTACAACCCCCCAAACCCATATATACTTCACCCATACTCTAACCCATAATCAATGAGTCTAGTTGGGTTTGGGTAAAATTACTCATTGATGGGTAATTGTCATCCCTATCTGCCAACACTACTGCGAGTTGGGTAATACCCACCCCAAACACATCAGGCGAGTTAGATCATGCGGGTCCAGTAAAAAATTGTCATCACTACTTTCATATTCCTTTCCGACCATCCGGAAAGTCATTTCTAATTTTCTTTTTTTTTTCCTCTTTCTCATTTAATCCCATTATAGTGTAGGAAAAAAACTCATTTTTTAGCACATTAAAACTCTTTTATTATTTCACAATGTGTACCACATAGTTTTCAATTTACATATGTGAATAATAATTTCAAAGCTATAAATCAATACTTTAAGTATAATAAGATTATCATAATATTAAAAAAAAATTACAAAGATGACAGAGTATCTACGTTGCTTTACACAACATCAGTAGAATTGTTGGTTGGCTTTGTTGCCTTGGGCAGAGTTTTAGTATAATACAACGTACCACTCCAGCATTGGTACATCTCCTATCCGGGAGTTATATGGGAGAGAATCGTCGAATGTTATTTCCTCCGTAATGCAACATAGTTCGGTTGACGTTGTTGATAGGGTGCTGAGAGAGGAGTTTTTTCCAGAAATAACACCTTTCAAAAAAAATTACAAAACTAGCACCCTCTCAAAAATATTTACAAAACTAGCACCCTTTTTTATTGACCGCACCCTCGTGATGCGATTTACATATAAACCGCATCCCCCAGGTGCGTTTTATATGTAAACCGCACCTGGAGGGTGCGTTCTAATCTGGTGGGCCTAAATCGCACCTTGGCAATGCGTTTTCATGTCTGGTCTACATGAAACGCATGGCCGAGGTGCGGTTTAGGCCTGACCTACCTAAACCGCACCATAGAGATGCGATTTATTCCTCCAAGAACGAACCGCATCTGTAAGGTGCGGTTTAGCCATGTAGATCGCACCCCCCAAGTGCGGTTTAGCCTTGTAGATCGCACCCCCCAAGTGCGGTTTACGTGCCAATTATTTTCCGACACCCGACAGCCATGCAGAGAATTATGCACGTAGGGCTGCATGGCTGACTAAAACCGCACCCTAGAGGTGCGTTTTTCACAATTTTTTCCCCTATATAAGACTTGCCGGAAAACCTCTACTCTTCACACCTCTCATTCTCTCTTTCATTTTTCTGTTGTATATCTATATTTATTTAGTGTGTTGATAAACATAAATTTATTTTATATTACACTAGGCACATTAACAAAATAAAAGAAGGACAAATGGTGAAGAATTGTATGTACCGGGTGATCGTTCCAAACATCCCTTGACCGATGGTTGGGTTGGTCGTACAAGTCGGTTGGATCCACCGGTCCTTGCTCGAGATAATACCGTTGGTTGTATATATCGACGTCCTCCCCAACCTACGAGAAAATAACAACGAGGTTAGTACATAGATTAATTAAAAAACTTATAACAACAATAAAAATTAAACCAGAATAATGAGTACATACCGCTTGAAATTCATCGACATAAACTCCTCCTTGCCACCAATCGGCCATTTTTTCGGCGTAATTCGGACAGAGCTTCGGCTCGGCTCGGCGGGTTAAACCTAAGAAATATTTTCTGATGGCAGATCGGACTTAGCCGCAACCAACAGACTTTTATTTCCTAGGCTTTTGGGAGGGGAGGGTTTAGAGAGATTATATCTAGAGAGAGAAGGAGAATGGGTTGTGTGGAGTGAAGAAATGAGAGGGGGAGGGGGGGTATTTATACCCAACAGATCGCACCCCTCAGGGGCGGTAGGGTAATTTTACCCCGCAGAAATCGCATCTCCCCGGTGCGATCTCCACGCCAAATCGCATTCCCCTGATGCGATCCCCGCGTCCCGATGCGTTGAACGCGCAGAAAACTGACGCTCCAATTTTCCAGGCGAGAAATCGCACCTTACCAGTGCGATCCACACACAGTCGCGCGGATTGCTGACGTGGCTATGCTGCAGCCCGTC